GTGGCTGGTAGCGATTCATAGCTTTTTTGGTTACGTGAGTGAGAATGAACGATTGTTAAATCAATAAATCTATTACAGAGGAATCAGAAATCTAAATATCCAGGAAAAAGACAATTTGTGTTGCGAAAAAGGACAATTTGTAGAAGATCATAGATTGTTGCAAAATAGGCCGTTTGCACTGGACAACTACAAATGCGTGTATCTTCTTAGATGTATATACTTGCAAGTGTATGTGCATACATTTTTTTTTACAAAAAGAGGAACATGCAAATAATTTTTTATTTATAAAAAGTGCACACAAAAATATGATAGCAAAGTTTTCAGCAACAAAATACTACGAACTATATGCATCTTCTTCTTCAACATCTTCATGAACGTCATCTTTATCGCTACAGTCTGATTCACTGTCACTACAATGTACGTTGACTATGGACTGTTCTAAGTTGTTAAAGTATTGAAAATCTTTTTTCAACTGCACTCTAGCAAATGCAATTCCGCTGTTTGTGATGGCGAGACGACCATGCAGAGTCTTCATTGTGTCTTTTCGCACACAATAGCCATGTTTATATTCATCTAGAAGAAAGCTCTATAAAACAAACATAATCATGTCAATAAGTATGTTCGTATTTTAAAAGAGTGGTGTCATTTTCACTACTTATCTGACCTCTGTTTTAAGGAAAGAATAGTCATTAAATTTATCAACATTATATGTAAATACTAAAAAAATAATTGCAAAATATGTTAAACGCATGTACATTACATTCCACTGTATATAAATACGTAACCTTTAAGCTTGTTTTAACTTAATACGAACATCTATCTGTACACCTATCCTATCTTTTATCTTCTCTTTTCTTTCACAAAGGAGAGGCAAAACGTTTTCCAAAAAATAAATCATATAATTTTTCATCTCCATGTTGAAAAGTGCTTTTTCCTCTTCCAATCTTTTAACTACCATGTACTTATCGACAATTTGTGCCTTGAAACGCACAGGTGTATCTAAATATTGTTAAGTAAAATAGTTGAAACTAAAAGCGAGCATGGACGTCACGATATACATAGAACTATATTTGCTATTCTTTTACACACCATGTGAAGTCGTACTATCTATGTCACACTGGTTAAACGACTAAACAAAATCTCCAGACATGACTTCTTCCGCACTTGTCATGGGAAGACCACACAGACTTGAGAGGCAATTTAACTCTTCTACGGTGGATGTTATTTCGGACTTCTCTTTAGCGCATTTCCTTCTTATGGAAGATCTTCGTTTACTAGAATCTACAGTACGTGCATGTATAATATACGTAACAACGACAAATCGCAATTTTACAGTAATTTGGCAAAATGCTTTGAAATATAAGTCTACATATTTCTACGACGATGGTGTAGATAGTATTTACCCGTTTACTTTGAAATAAAGCACAATTTATCTCGAATAAAACTGTTCCATATTTTGCATTTTGTGTCGCCTATATCTAAAATCTAACTCACTTAGATTTTGCTACGAACTTTAAAATAATGCTTACAGTAACTCATAAAAAACCCCAACAAAACTCACCAGCAAGAGAAGTTATTTCTTTTGTTCCTCTAGTGACTGAAAAATACAACATTTCTAATCTCTTCTGCAGCTTTACTACTGTGATTTTTGCCAGCTGCGACTTTCCTTGCTCAAGAAGCTGCTCCTCGGTCACATGTCCATCTAAAAGCTGTCTTTTCAATTCCAGCAATCTTGTTGCATTTTGTTCAAGTTGTTTCACTTTGTTTCGAGCGTCATGAACGAAACGCCTATCACCCAATAATGTCTGCGTTTGATCATCGTCGGCTTTTACAAAATTCTACAAATGTTGAGCATTTTCAACAGTTTGATGCAAAAGGAAAAACTCTTCGACGGCACCTTTCAACGAAGAAACTCCAATTTTTTGTTCTATACAAACAATAAAAAATATTAATTTATCTACGTAAGTACTAAGCACTCCATACAATATTGTATAGCTATATATTTCCCGGGGGTAAAATGAATTGTTAAAAATAACAATTGCCAAACATAAAAATTTGAGCCAGGCCAAGAATTATTTAATATAGTTTCGTTTTAAATGATGTTTGAACAAAAATCAACCATTAGTACAGAACTGTACAATACTAAGCCATGTTTCTAAAAAATATTTGAAAGTAAACAATGTTACCTCTCGCAAATTGTTGAACTTCTTCTTTCCACTGCATTATCGAGTCGTCCAAGTCTGAATCCTGGACATTAAGTTCGCTTCTTAACTTTACAAAATTGTCTCTGGCAGATGAAAGTTGCCTTTCGGTCTTCGAAATTGCCTTGCCTTGCGTCATCCAATGCCAGATGGCTCAGGTGAAACATGAACGTATTCCAAGTGCCAGCGATGGCAATCTGCCATTGCAGTCACCAGGTCTTGTCCAGACAAGCCAGTTTCTTCCTTAATGATGTTCTTGAGGATGACAAACGGGCGCCCAATTCTTCTTTCTGCTGAGGGTGTCCATAGCAGAAGCCTACCAGCTGGCTCTTCATGACGACTAACTTGGCCCGCAAGAGTCAAACGCCGCTGACGAACCGTTTCAGACACACGAGGAAGCGTACCGTACAGAGATTTGTTGGTAGGATGGCTTTTCCAAGAGATGTCATAGGCGTGTCTAAGCATTCTTGTGTATGTGCCGTCGAGGCGATTTTTACGTTTCACATTTAGCGTCCATGAATCTGACCCGCAGAGAAGTATAGTTTCAATGCAAGCCTTGAACACTTTAGTCTTTGTTGACTTCTTGATTGGAGACTTCCAAACTGCCGGAAGAGAATGCAGCGCACTCCATGCCAATGCTATTCTGACAGATATATCATGCTCAGTATCTGAAGAATTATATTAGCGCAGTAAACGTATTGGATTCAAACAACACCTATACACAACTATGAACTGTAAATTCACTTCATATTATACACGTACGTTACACACATTAGAATCATGGACTGACACTAGTATAATTTTGAAAATTAACTGAACACATATACAACGTGTAACCTTTTTCATTCGAATAACAAGTGATTTTGCCAAGTTCAAAATATTTCCTTGTTCCAACTCAGAAGATATTTAGTAATGCATTCTTCTTGTCCTTAATAGGTACAACCATTAATGTGCACATTTGTTCGTGGACTTAATCGACCAAAAAACCTGAGTGGATACGCAGATCAGAAAATAATAATCACCGGAGGCCGTCATATTTTTAGTAGTCGAGCCAAGTCTTGACAAATACGAATTTATTTGCTCAACTTCTTCGCGAGCAGTTGCTGCCGCACCACTTTGCCATCTTCCGCTCCAAATAACCTAAAAAGTGTGAAAAGAATCATCCATTCAAAACAACCCATTTCAGATTTACGTAACAACGGTTTAGTTACGTGAAATACAATATTATTACAGTTTGACAAAGCACGCTTCGTCTCATAACATCTTTAATAGAGCATTATCGTGGTCGTATGTGGTATTTAGTTTACGAGTTATTGGGTAAACAATCATAACCTACGTATGTAACGTACCTGACATGACCAACTGTGTGATTTCCCATGCATTATAGACAATGCTGGTGCAATATTTCTTAAAGCATTTTGATTTTCTTCCTATGTAAGACGTAGAACCCACGGCCAATATTTGCATATAATATCTTCCCACATATATGTAACTTTATGTGGTTGTAAAAAATTCATATGCAAGTAGTGAGCATAGCCATAAATTTCTCCTCTGAACATGTTCAAAGTAGCTTGAGCAATCGAGTGCCTGCATCCAGCTAGTTCAAGTCCATTTGGAGACAATTTTTGCAGCTTTCCAATGGTTGTCACCAAAAGAATTATCTTCATTCTATAAAAACTGCTTTAACCTAATAATAGATTACTACCTTTCAATCCTACTTCATAACACATTACCTGAATTGACTTTGAACGAAGACTTTTTAAATGAGAGTCCACAAAACTGCTATTTGCAGTCAGTACATCACGATAATAACACTGGACTGGACCCCTGTGGTAAAAATAAGTTATCAATTTAGAACACAAGCCCTCATAAGCCCAACAATGCAAGTAAAGAATTAAACATGAGCAGTAGGTCTTTTTCTTGGATTTGTTAAAATTGGTTCAATTTATTTAAACTGGTTTATTATTTATTAAAACATAAAAATATCTGAATTGTTTACAAAGGGTAATTCCATTTTCGCAAGTTTGAGAATTTGCCATCGAATATCACAAACCTTGCTACTTTGCTGAATCTGTACACTTTTTGATTTCCATCAACATGACATGAATGTTGATCAATGCTACAAGGAGGACAATTTTTCCCATGTCTGCTCATGAAGAAGGTCAATTTCATGTTGGCAATAGCTCCATTCAGCAAACGATTTTCTGAATGTGACTGGATTGATAACAATTTCCTAGTGAAACCAGTTCCACATCAAAACATAGCACAAATATATACTATTTGTTGATTATGCAAAACCCAACTGTACTATAATATAGTTCTCATACTTCAAACGTACATATTATATGAAGCCTACAAAAATTGACATGTGCTTGTTACAAATTTTAAACAAATTTTCCTTGACTGTCCAGAATTTACCAAAATTCTCAGAAAGAAATGATCATAAAGGATTATTTTGAAACCAAGATTTACGTCTTGTAGCTTTTGGTTTGCGAGACAAAAAATATACACAAAGTAAAAAGCACACTAACAAAGACATGTAGATAGCATAAAAATTAATCACCCTTCCTCTAGAGCTGGAAATATCTTCCAAACTTCTTACAAAAGCAGATTGTGATGACCCAGGCATCCTCTTTCTAAATGCATCCCACAAATTTAAGACATCTTGACTAAATATGTAATGAACATGTTCAGGGCTATCAGGCCACCAGCTACTCTCAATTATACTGTCAACCAAAATTGGTGACCACTTCCATTGACAAGATGAGCAATGTACAGTGAACTGATTAAGAGCAAATAGTCCTGTTAAAGACAAAATATAATCAAAGAAAACCAGTACAGCGCTGAAAATATGCACTTCAAGAATTCAAATCCTGGGGTTTCATAAGAAGCCAGCAACTTCATTGATGATTTGAAGTTTTTAGTTTCAATTTAAAGTTTATGAATTAGTGTACAATCCAACCTGCTGCCTATGTATTTTTCTCAATAATCAGCCCCTAACATGCCTAACGTAATGAGCCCCTAACAAATCAGATTTTAATAAGATGCATCATATGTACATCCATGTAATAAAAATTGCTATTTGGACTCAGTAAAAAAATTGCATAAGGACACTTTCACCTTCACAAGTGATCATAATCACAAGAGAACTGTTGGTAATTTTCATAATAGATGCATTACACAACTGACATGATGATGGGTAAAGGATGGGACATGATCAATCTACAAAGATAACAGCATCATCACAGAAAAACATTTCTCTCACATTGGGCACAACAACAAAAAACAAATATATAAAATTTATATAAAATTCAATAGTATGTACATTATACTTACCAATGCTGCAAATCTTTCCATCAGATGGAATGGATTGTGTTGGCTTGATATATTGAAAATAACCATCCAACCACACTTCTCGATCATGGAGAGGATTGTTCTCATGAACATCATCATCGCATTCTCTACAAATATATCTCAACACACCACATTGTCTGCATCTCAGTACAGCTTCATTTTCATTGCATCTCCAACACTTCATAGCAGATAAAGGAGGAAGAAATAATGACACAGTGACATTGAATAATTTTTGCCTCATACTTTTCCAATTTTCTTCTCAATTTTCCATTCTTTTTTGCCAAGCAGATGGCCCAGTATCCACTTCTCGAATAACCAACGAAGAGCTTTCAAGAATAGCTTCAAGATCTAAAATGAAAATGAAATGATTTTATGACATAAAGCTGTTTCCTTTTCTATTTTTTTGTCTAAAATATGATACAAGAGTACATTGAAGTCTTAAAAGCACAGTCACATGTGTATAAAAATATAAAAAACTATGTATAGATGCAGTGGCATGGACAGCACAAAAGTTTTGCTTCTGTTATGTAAAGTTGAGATGTAAGAAGTATTATCAACAACCTCTTTTAGTCACACTGTCATCACATAACATTTCCTGTGGAACATCATGTAAATCTGACGATGTTGTAGGCATTTCCTCATCTATGATAATAATAACAACAAGTAAGACAAAAACTACCGTGAAATTGGCACCACATTGGCCACCACATTCAACACAACATTCATCACAACATTCATCACCACATTCAACTAAAATTTATCATTCAAAATGATAAATCGAAAAATCGTCTTTAAAACACGTATTCCATCAAATACGACAGTAAAAAACAATTCTTAACTGTTTATTACTATTTTACAGTCCTTACCCATCACAAAAAACGTATAAAAGTCAAGAAATTGAAGAAAACATTAAGATTTATATTACAATGTACTTTCCATTTCTCTTAATTAGCCTATAATTTAAAAACTACGCGGTAGAATTTTTTTAAACTTGGAAAGAATATAGATAATTATATTGTCTAAAATATATCCAAAATCTGGAGGTGGCACAAAAAAATAAGTTGTAAAAAATCATCGACAAAGTCGGATGACACGGATGCGCATAATATAATCTTATATAATTAACTTCCTATATCCATGTAATTTTTCAAACAAAGGCCTATAAATAAAAAACTACGCGGTAGAATTTTTTTAAACTTGGAAAGAATATAGATAATTATATTGTCTAAAATATATCCAAAATCTGGAGGTGGCACAAAAAAATAAGTTGTAGAAAATCATCGACAAAGTCGGATGACACGAATGCGCGTAATATAATCTTGCATATTTAAGTTAAGAATTCCGGTTCTTTAACAAACAAAGCCTTATAAATAAAAAACTACACGGAAGAATTTTTTTAAACTTTGCCATATTGTAGATATTTTATTAATCAGGACATTAATCCAGATATAGAAAAGAATATAGATCTTTTTGCAAAAGACAAAAGAAGAATTGACTAGCTTTCTAGTAAGGAGTGAAAGTTTTGATGCCTTTTTTAACTCTTGACTGTAAAGATGACTGCTGCTAACCTCAGTCAATATAAACACAAGCAATCGCTCTCAGGACTTTACTAACCTGGACAATGGACATCTACAAACATTTTTTGCTTTTTTTTGTTGGCAACTTCATTTGATAAATTGACATAAAATCGTTTGCATAATAATCAGCATATAGGTATGACTAGACCATTATAAAATGAAATTCCATATAAAAGTTGATGAAGTGTAAAGAATTTTTTTACGCTAAGTTTGTAATAAGCCAGGCAATGTCAGATGCCATCAAAGCATATTTTACTGTGAGTTTCCTAGGCATGCTGATAAGCTCTGATATTGAGCGAAACGGTCAAAAAACAATGATTTATGAGCAAGAATTTTAGCTTTCCAACTGTAAAAACGCATGAAATAGCGTTTTCTGCAATCCAATTTTAAAATTTTACCGTGGGGGACATGCTCCTGGACCCCATAGAAAAGTTACGCTAACGGTGCGACAGTGTGCCTAAGTTCATATACGAAGCTGGATGCGCCCCTGGTGACATGCACTGCCATTTCCTTTGTCCGGTTTAGTAATAATAATATTGGGTTTGTTACAAATGTTTTCGTGCATACGATTTTTTCTAAAATCAACTGGTGTAGGGTTATAACATGATATATGTGAGTGAGCAATGTGTGAAAAAGTCCCGTTGTGAGATGTGTGTTGTCTTCTTGATTACGAATATTGTGTTTAATAGTTTGATAGATTCTTTCAAATGTTGTCAGGATATCGGTAGAGCTAAGTCGTAGTGGTTTGATACTGAAGTCTAGGTCATTTTCAAAAGTTCCAGTTCTTCGTCTTTCAGTTAGTGTGATGATAACTTGGTGAATGTTTCGTTGTGGGTGACATGAATGGTAAAGCTTTGTTCTTCGTTAGATGAGTGTCTTTCAGTGTGTGAGCATAGTTTTACGTAAGTTTTTCTTTGTGTTCTTTTCAAAAGCTTTGTTTAGAATAATGCAATCGAGAGATGATAGAGTAGACTTTAAAATCTTGAAAAGAACACAAATAATCATAATACATAACATATAACACATAATCAACGGAAAAGCTAGCCCTTCAGTGGTAGTAGACCGCGTTAGTTTTACAGTAGACACTCGGTAAAACACAGTTCTGCAAATACTACATCATCTCCATCTACGTATGCTGGACAACAGCACAGCATGAGCAAGAGCGTACATGGGAAAACAATTCAGCATCCGTTAAACAGTTCTGCACAAGGTAACCTGGCTCAACCATGTCCAGTAACTTATTCTCATGTTTTTATAAAAATAGTATATTTATCCTTATCCACTGCTACTCTCTGAACCAAATACCTTTCAAAGTTCTTTATCGTTTGCACCAATACTTCAATATTTCACAAACCTTAGAACAGTTTTCCAGAGGCTCAACAACCTTTTGCCGTCAAACCACATCATCAAATCATGAAGGTTTCACCATTAGTCTCTTGCAGTTCTGCCGGCCCTTAGTTTGTTTTAGCTTTGGTTGTTAGTTCAGTCATTAATCCAGGAAGTAATACAGCCAGTCCTCCTCACGACTGAAATTACTGTGATCCTCTTTCTGGAGAAGTAAGAAGTAAAGTAGGAAACGTATATTTCCATGCAAACTTATATTGTGTCAGAATAAACAACCCTAATTTTTTTCCTCAAATTACGAAAATATCGACTAATTTTTTACAACACCTTGCGTCATTAATTTTTTAAAATGCATTTATAATTTCTTTGGCGTTTAGGATTTGGTATCTAGAAAGTGTTCTCACTATTTTTGTACCCACCTTTGCAATCGTTTGCAAAGCAAACAACCAAACTATCTTCATTTAAAGCGCATACGCCAATTATTTTTCTTATATCTTTTTATCATGATAAAACTGATATTTCAAATCTGTCAACAAAATTTTAATTACTCTCATTACCATAGCAAATATGTCGACGAACACGAATATTGTTTCAGAAAAAGTAATGTCAGTACTATTTTATAGCTACAGAAATCATTTGTATAAATACCAATTTTAATATCAAATTAAGACATTGGTATTCTTGTGAAAAGTTACATTCAGAGTTGAGTTGGTTGTTGAAGACTAATATATACACATGCTAAACTTACTTATTCTGTATGCTAGTTTTATCATTTTTATTAATAGTATTTGTTTTCATTTCTAATAATTCAAAGCAATTTTATGTTCACGAAAAGAATAAACAATGAAAAATAAATCAACAACATTCGCTAGTTTTATTCGTCGCTTCATCTCCAATTCGGCGTTTTATCCTCAATTCGGCGTTTTATCCCCAATTCTGCGTTTTATCCCCAATTCCGCGTTTTATCCCCAATTCCGTTCCGCTTACGTATTCCGGATCCGCATTCTACTTATGCATTTTATCCTAATCCCTTACCACAGAATAATGATTATACAGAAGGGTCACTCAGGTGTACGTGTCCTCATGTCGGCCATTATTCCAGCCAGATGATTAGGATTTCTCACTTGTTTCTAACCATTAAAATTACATGACGTCAATACTTAATAATTATTCAAGTATATTTTGACTTAAGAAATGTCTTCGGATAATTTTAAACGTTTGGAAACAGTCAAAAACCCCAATCATCTGGCTGGAATAATGACGGCCACTATGCGCGGCACGACATGCGCGACGACAAAAACATCAAAGGTTCCGACATGAGTGACTCTTCTGTATATTCTTATTCTGTGCCCTTACTAAAAGCACTTAGTCCATGAACAATCATTTTATCGCACCAGATGCTATTAAAAAGACGTTATTAAAAGGAGGTCTTATTTCTTCCAGTTTACTATCTAAGTGTGCGAGCTTCTAGCTACGATTATTTAGATAAAACATCTTCATATGCCATTATGTGATAGAAGAATATAACACGTATAGTCTACAAAATCAATTAATAATGCTACACTCGCTATTCATAAAAATAATATTAAGAATAAGTTGACTGAGCTTATTACTAATAATTTTTGAAACACCAGCTTCTTGTTTCATTATAGTATGGTACGTTATAAACGTATATTACTTTGTTCTGACTAACAGCTTACTCGAACTCAGCTGTCGCTGTCAAGATGAGGAAAGAAGTGTAAAGAACAAACAAAAATAAGTAGAACTTTTGCCTTTTAAACTGGCTACACCGGTAACAAGCCCAGGACTCTGTGGTTCGCTTCGTTGTTTGCTGCTGATGGCAGTTAGTAGGACAGTGAGTGGAAAGTTTACAGATATTGTTTTATATGATATGCTTATTAAGTTGAGAAATGAAATACAAAGTTTAGGTGTTTCACTAAAAACATTACTTGCTATGAGCTTAGTAAACTTATTATTAATATGTATCAAACACTTTACATTTATTCTTAACTACAATCTTGCGTTTAGCTTACAAGAGCATTTTTAAAGGCTCAACCTTTAGCTGTTAACCCCACATCTAGAAGGTGATACTATTTGTTTTTGTCTAATATTTGTTCCAGTGGATCTCAGCTCGGATTTCAGTCCTTAAGAAAGGAAGTATTTTAAAAAGCCTGCTCATGCTCTCACAATTAAATCGTGATGAGAGTTCATGATTGCCATCTTCTTACTAGAGTAGTCCGAAGTGAATCAGCTAGGAAACGTTTCTTTTCCTGGAAATTAATATTGTGTCGGAGTAAAAAACCCTACTTAAGGCTTCATTTGCAAATCTTAATCTTAATTTACATGAAAGAACGTTTTCTACAACATTTCTGACTAAAAGGATCGCGATCGATGATTTGCCTTGATTACATTTTGCTGGCAGACAGATTTATCCCAATAGAGATTAACCATTATTGCTAGTCTAATTGAACTGGCTTTAAAAAGTATTCAGTTTTAAAGTATCGTCGTATGAACAGTATGGCAAACACTCATTCCAAAGATTCTTTCTGTGCGTTCTAAACCATGACGCAAGTATTTAGTGAACGCGCAATGAAACGCTGCATAAAGAGTTCATTTGAAGGTACTTGAGAGCATGTATTAAGAAGTAGATCTTCCGTGACACCTTTTTACTACTTTTAAAATATCGTTGTCCCGTGATAGTTTTGAATCATCGTCGTTATACCAAGTGGATCAATCTTTGTGTTACTTTCAATTTGCTTTCCTTTGATGACAATTGGAGAAAAGAGATCGTCTGTGTTCGAGCGCTATAATTAACTCTGCTTTTTTGATGTCTTCCAGATAAAAAGTTGATAACCCTGTAAAAGACACTATTAGGAATATCCAAGAGTTGCAGTTTGCCAACTAGAAGGGAATGATTGATGAGGTCAAAATTCTTCCCATATTTGTATGGCTGCATGAGCCAGTGCCATCTGTATCTCCATACCATTTCTGCAACATGCTAATTATAGCCATGATCGTAGTTGAATTTACTATTGATCCAAATTAACTAGAGTCAAATTTTTTTATCACTGCTGTCTTAATATGGTCTGACATTATGAAACCCTCTACGATATTAGAAATAGTTGGTGTAAGTGAGTGCATGAACATTGTTGTGTGCGTTGAACAATAATGTGCGCGTGAACCAGAGGAACATTCAGTTTTAAACATTCAGTTTTAAACATTCAGTTCCGCAGGTTCACGCACACATGATGAACATTCCAATTAGGGACGCCGGTAGATCAATAATTTTGAAGGAGTGCCAATATTCATAAATGCACGTTTAACTTTTTTTTTCCTTTTAAATTATTGTGATGATGATTATAATACATGAATATAGGATTATGAGCCTTCCCTCCAATCACCAGATTTCTGGCATCCCTGTTAACATTTTTTTCTGAAAACAGAAATTCTTTACATATTCGCATGAAAACATTTATGTTGTTGTACGCATTAGCATTTTTTAACACTCCAAATGAGGGAGATTTCCATTTTCGTCAATTATATCCTCACAATCACCCCATTGTGCCTTTTGCTTTTTGGTCCAGTTAGATTGCGATGAGTTGTATACGAATCTGACAATTTGAGCATATGGTTTTGGGTAATCGTCTGGCTCACGAATGATACCACTTATCCAATACGATCTAATGTCACCATACCAAGCAAAGAGTTCAGTTGCAGATAAAGAGGGGAGAAACGTAGAGCTGGAGACAACCACCAGTCGATTACTGCTACGTTTTATGCGGTATTTTACATTTGCTAGTTGTTCCAACTTGTCATTTATCGTTTTCCAATCTGCTTCATTGAAGTTTGGAAATTCTTGTTTGCTGGATACTTTTCTAATTTCATTTAAGGCCTCGAAAACGCCCTTTTGATTGACGTAACAGCCTAGTTTCCCTTTTTCTGCATCGTAGTATCTTTTTTGCCCCATGTGTTCCACTTCGACAAGATATGATCCTATACATTCAAAATAGTTCATAAAACGTTTGTTGAAAAATTAAGCTTCGATTTAAAGCCATTTTGTAGAAAAATTATAGTTTATTTAAAGTAACGTTTCGTCCTTACACAAGACATCATCCGACTAGTAGCTGAATTGATCAAGGTGTGCGATCAAGATATTCAGGGATTTGTTTAAAGATTGTTTAAAGTTATTGAAAGTGAAATTTATAAATAATTTTATTGGGCTTTCGACTCAGTGTTTCGAGCCTTTTAAATCTTTACAATTGTTTTTGGTTTGTAGACGCTTAAAACTTCTAATTGGATTAATGCATGGATTGAGATAATTAGATGATGTGGAATGCGTTGGTAAAGTTTTTGGTATATTGTGAATAGAATTGGTATTAATATTATTACTGTGTGTTTTTGTAGTCTCGGTGTTGTTAGTAGTTCTTCTGTCCTTGTTTTTAATTGTAAACATATGATTGATATGTCAATATGTCTGTTTATTGTGTCGTTGTCTTAACTGCATTATGCACGCTTCTTTGAATTTGCCATCATGTTTTATCTGTGCGCGTCCGAGTACTTTAGTATCTGTGCAGTCCAATGTGTGGTTATTTACGTAAGCATGTTTTGCCGGTAGCTAGTGTGTTAACCTAACCTGAAATGCGACCAAACACGAAAACTTAAAGCTCAAAGGCAGTGATTGTACACGACGACATTTGGACTTGCCTGAATCATGAGGACGCTCGTTGCTCCACAAAGCTGAGTAGTCACATATGTAAGTGTTGGGTTTGATGATGTCCAAATGAGGCTTTAAAAACAATCCCATGCCAGCATAATTAATCGTTGATTCCGCACAGAAAAGACGCTCTAAATGTATCAAGGTTGTTAAGAGCGAATTGGCTCTTCGCATTATCTGCAAACAAAAATTTGGGACTGAAGATTACACAACGCGTGCAAGCAGAACCTCCCTAAAACGGGAGTATTCAGTTTCGCTCCAATCTACGGATAAATACCCTGAAACACTACGTTAAGAGATATCACCTCCAGAGACGCGTGTCTGGAGGTAAAGCTCTGCAAGTTTAGGCTTTATTCGTGATTCACTCGCTGGACTGTTGTGGAGATTGAAAAAAACCCGTAGTTGTGGTGTACAGAACGAATTCGAAAATACATTTTGATTTACTCTCTGATTTTTAGTTAAAATTTGGTGATTGGGACTGTAATAGAATGAGTTTTCACACCAACACAATTAGGTGATGGACAGTGAAGTGAAAACAAACGCTTTGACTGCTTGAATACTTTAAAAGCCAGAACTTCATAGCAAAACTAGTGCAACTACCAAAGATTTTTATGTGTATAACTTTGAGTTTGTTGCATTTGTAACTGTAAATAATGACGAGTTTTTCGTCGTGACCGTAAAAATATTACACGAAGGCTGTAGCTAAGTTTTATCAAAGCAATAAATCTTCTTTCAGCATTTCCAAATGATGAATCTTTATCAAAATCAAAATGTTAGGTTTTGGTCAATGATTTTAAACATAAACCTAAAATGTAGTTTTTTTGAGTTGTTTTAATGATGTGTTGTATAAAAGAATTAGTTTGGACGTGTTTTTTGAGCAGAGTGACTTAGGAAAGGCGGTTTCTAAAGTACACCGAAAGATTGCGTTAAACCAACGCGGTTTTTTTAGGTGTGTGGTTCACAGAATAAAGAAAAAGTAATGTTGGATTTTCAAAGAGCTTGGTTTTAAGGAAGAAATGAAATCTTATAAATTTTCTTTTTTGACGATCAAATTTCAAACGAGAATAATCTGTAATGATAAATACAGCAAACAGCCAACTACTTTTTGAAGATAGCTTTTTGTGCTTTAATAAAATCCATCTAAACGATAAAAAGTCAAACTTGCGGGCTCTTCCAAATTACTCTTCGGTGTACATGCTGGTGTGATATATCTTTTAATACTGGTAGATTAAACGTACATTTTTTGTTCCATAAGCATATTGGATATGACATAGCACATTTATTAGGTCTTAGGTAACAATACAATTTATACACATGTGGCACAGCTTTCGAATCATAAAAAGACTCCCCAACAACTTAAGCCTAGTTAACACCAGCGAAATAAACATAAACACAATCTAAAACAAAAGATTAAACATTAAAACATCCAACAAAGGCAATAGAATAACAAAAGATAATTGAAATAAAAAATAAAATGTCCATGTCCTTGTAAAGCTCTTAAGCAAAAAAGAAGAGCGGTGTTCTACAGGCAACATTTTAACGAAAACAATCAATGCCCAATGCTTTTAAGAAAAAACAAAGGCAGTTTGTTGCCTTTATATTCGTGGTATTTGACGTCACATTTCAATTGGATAGTGCGTATTAAGCTGTTGGGATATATTCATTCCCTGTGTTACACATAGAAAAAGTAAATATCGAATTTTTTTATGTACAGTTGTTGTCCTAATTATTGAGAAAAGATGCTACCAATTTCTCTAAAAAACCATTTTCATTTATTGTTTTCCCAAAGGAAAAAATACGAAAAGATTGGCTGATCAGAGATATGATTGGTCATTTAGCATTTACTGATAAACAGAAATCTCATGCTTCGTTTTTACATTTTATGTCAACTTCAACTTTTAACAATTAATTTTAAACTCGGAATATAAAATGTCAGCTTTAAAAATGGGCCATTGATGAAGAGTATAAAATTCGTCTCCCAGCTGAGGGGAAATAACAATTCAACTACGCTGGTACGTTGAGCTCAAACACGATAATAATTACAAATACACTTTCAATAATACAATTTGAAAGTGCACATAGGTCACATAGTGCACACAGAATTTAACGTGCGCAACCTCTTACCTGATGGATTCCAGTTATTTTGTACATCTTTGCTGTTTTGCCATGGGATCTTGGGTATAGCTACTGTAAATATAAGAGGCACATACATGAAAAATCATTGCTTTAGCCATTGTCATAACAACCTCAACTAGTTCACGGAGTAGTAATTTTTGAAACACCTAAATCTTGTTTTTCTTCAACTAAAGCAATCATAAAATAGTAAGTAAAATCATTCAACTCCTCCTCCGTGCAAACAAGACAAGTCTGCTCAAAAGCAGACTCTCATGCTTCTTCTCTTTTGCCCTCATTCAAACAACATAAAACCACTAGCACCAGTCGAGAAAACGCCTTCTTATATAGAAGCAAGAAATGTACAATGATACCATCCTCGCACCATACTAAAGAACCAGAGGAATACAGAATTCCCTTTGGTAACGCTTCATTCTTTTTAATGTTTTAAATTTAGTAACTTTTGGTTCTTTAGTATGATGCAAAGATTTTACTAGCATCATTTTACGTTTCTCGCTTCTATATAAGATAGCGTTTTCTCAACTAGTGTTAGAGGTTATAGCAATAGTTGTTTGAGATTGAAGAATTGAAGTAAGTACCCCTTCACCTTTCCACGCCGCTATACTGGTCACAACCACTGGACTTGTACCGTAAGGCCCTCTGCTTTTGAGTAGAGTTATCTCGTTTGATTGCTTTAGTGTAAGAGAAACAAAATTAAGGTATTTGTCAAATTACTACTCGCATTAGGTTTGGTTAATATTCTCATATAGTTTCTGTAAGAGAGAAAATAGACTTAACTAATAGAATTGCATGGAATATAATAATAATCATTTTGTATATTAGTTAAATATAGCAACAGAAAAACCTTGATATTACAAGGATTTTTAAAACTATTTAAAACTATTTGTTAAAGCTAAAATAGCGACAGGCATACACTGTTAATTTCAAGGAGTCATTTTAACTCCAAAAGTGGAGTACAATAAAAAGGTACAGAATGACTCTGTTTTTGGAGTTAAATTTTACTCCAAAATTTTAACTCCATTTTTGGAGTAAGCGTAACTCCAAAAGTGGAGTTAAAATAACTTTTTCTAGAGTTAAACGTACCTCCAAAAGCGGAGTTAAAATAACTTTTTCTAGAGTTAAGCGTAACTCCAAAAGCGGAGTTAAAATAACTTTTTCTAGAGTTAAACGTAACTCCAAAAGTGGAGTTAAAACAACTTTTTCTAGAGTTAAACGTAACTCGAAAAGCGGAGTTAAAATAACTCTTCTCTTCTTACGGAGTTGTTTTGTTATGTAGAAATTACAAAAACCTGTAGTTAGGACAATTTGACAAAACACACGAAATACAATTTTTTAAATGAAAAATATAATAACAACAAGAAATACAGTTTTAAACAAGATAGAAAAGATATGCACAATAATTATATCTAGAACGTCTATATAACTATATAAATTACCATCTTTCTGTAAATTTATGGGTGCTCTATGAATTACTTTAATTCTTGAAAGAACTTATGCACAACAACTCGTTTCTTAGCTTCAGCTGACCTTTCTATTAGTGCAGCCTTTAAAAAAAGAAATACATTCCCTGCTGAGGTGGGATATGCAATATTAAATATATAATAACAACCCACTAAAATTCTAAAGCTTGCATTGGCAAAATCGAGATATTAAGCTTTGAAATAATTTTCCCCTCTGCAGCAATGAATAAAAGAGACAGACAGTCAGTCCGTTGTCCCTACGCTGACCAGCTTTGGAGTCAAAGACTTCATTATAACATCATCAATTGATTCATCCTCTGTATGACAAAACCAAAAAAATTATCTGAAAAAAATATAAAATAACACATAAGAATGCTCTATTTAACTAGAGAGAGAGCAATCAAATTGCTATGACATACAAATAAATCCTTCACCATAATATTTACAGAGCAAATGTAAAGTAAGCCTGAATATTTTGTAGTACGTTCTTTTATCAAAAGTGGAAGAAGTATTACTGCTACACTCTCCTCAATTTCTGAATTAAAGAATTAAAACAGTTATAACTTGTGCTGGCTTTTAATGCAGAAAAATTTACATTCGAATCTTCCTCTACTAAAAGAAAGCTAAAATCAACAGCAAACACAGTCTAAAATTATAAATGAAATGTATGAAATGATGTATTATACCTGACTGCCTCTTTTGGATTATCCAAAATGCTTTCTTCCATGTCAGTAAGATGTGGTTTGACTGAAGGCCTATTGGAAGCCAACTTAAAAAGCTTGGATTTCCATTGTTCTTTGAACGAGTCAACCATTTTTCTGACAATACTTTGATCACGCATAATTTGACCAAATTATGCTTTTAATTAAATGATCAGAACAAATAATAAACCAAGGAAGAAAGACATAATCTAAAGTTAGCATGAAATAAATTTTTTAAGCAAGTACCAAAAAATGAGGCCAAACCGGTTCATAGTCATAAGCACAATTGTAGAAATATGACTCACTTCTGACACCAATCTTAGAGCAGGATATTGTTCTAGAACCTGTTCCACAGCTGATGGTTCCAACAAGATATTTTCTCTCCTGAAGGGAAAAGTATCAATCCATCAATCTACGTTCAGCTTCGTTGTGAGTGGATTTTGTATTTCCAATAGTATTCTCTCGAATGATTTGAATTAATAAAGGTTGAGTTCTTATTCCGCCATGTTGACTGTCAGATACAAAAGAATAAATTATGTCATTCGCTTCAACTGGCGTGGGCTAACGATATGGTTGATTGAATAATATGAAAGGGTTATTTGTTTTATTAATATATTATTTAATAAGTCTCCTTATATTTATAGCAATTGTATCAATTTTAACAATTTGTAGCAATTATATCATAAAGAGTTAAAACAATTACTGTTAGGAGTCATAATTACAACCGGAGTAAAATGTTATGGGTTAAAATAACTCCATTAATTATACTCTGATAAGGGTTAGTTTAACTCTCTTGGCGGAGTTAAAATTGCTTCATATGGAGTAAAATCAGCATTTAATCATTAGCTGTAGTTAATTTAACTCCATTTAAGAGGTTGATATAACTCTTAATTTTTTACTCCACCAAAAGGAGTTATGTTAATTCCCTATTTGGAGTTGAAATAACTCCTTGAAATTAACAGTGTATGAAAAGCATGAACACCAGAGTAATAACGGAGAGAGGTTAGGAAAAACTCTGTTAACATATACAAAACTACTGGAAAACTTTGTTAATATTTAGGGGCTGTTTGCATGAGCACCACATGGAGGGCTACCCCTACCAACCGTGTTATTAAAAATCCATATAAAATTCTTTTGGGTTTACATGAGAGAAGTGCTAGCCCTACCAGCCGAGATCTCGCTTTTGTTCACCTGAGATCTCGCCATGTAGGGCTGGAAATTTCCCATGTAACCGCATTCGGTAGGGCTGAAAATTTAACGCATTTGCGTTGCATTAACTGGAGCAAACAAACTATGAAAGCGTAAAAAATCAAAAGGCGGCAATTATATCGATTTGTTTTCAGCTATTTCGTATTTTAGCGCTGAAATTCGCAATTCAAACTGAACTCGTGATGCAGGGCTAGTATTTTCATGCAAAAGAGAGGTAAAATACAGCCCTACAGGGAGGGCTACCCTTTTCCTTGGGGCTCATGTGAACAGCCTCTTAGTTTATTTACTCAGAGCAGTCCGCGGTTAATTTCGGATGCTGCAATAAAGTTCAAGGATGCTGCAAGAACGAAGAGGCTATTTGCTACAATTAGTTGTATTCGGTTCACATGCACATAGTGCGATTCACGTGCACAGTGATAGTGTCATAGGTAAAGCACACAAAAATCACATGTCATTCAGCAAGTGGCCATTGTCCGTTGGCTTCACCCAAATTCTCCCTTCCCTCTTCCCCTTGCTTTCTGTTGACTGAGCATGACTATTTTAGTCTTGTTTCCGTAGTGGTATTTTTATCACCCCGCCTTTTTTGTGCTACACAAAAAAACTTTACACGTAAAGAATTTTGTAATTTGTTATTTCGATGTTATTAATGCGGCATGTTCTTTGACACATTGCCAATTTATATCCAAAAGAGAGCACTTATTCATATTCTTTAATGTCATAGTATCTACAGCAGCTTTGCTTTCAACTGTTTTGGTCCGTTTTCTTATCTCTAAACTGCAAAACGCAGGAGAATTTTTTGCAGTTTTTGTACCTTGTGATGTCCTGTCCAATGTTTTCTGCCATATTTTTAACACTCAACAGATGATTTGTGGGGTTTGAATGAAAAAATTAACCTGAGCATGCCGAATGCCGAGTAATTGATTGATTGATTAAACTTTATTAAAAAGAGGGTAACACGTGACACAACAAGTGTCAAAAACTTGTGGCCCTCAAACTAACAAACTACGAGATAAATTACAATTTAAAAACCAGAATTACACAAGACTAAAAATACTAAAAAACTAAATAATAAATTATTCTATGAGCATATCTGAATTAGCTTTATCATAAAGTTTCTTTTTAAAAAGTGTAGCTGATGAAAGTTTACGCATAGTAAGAGGTAGACTGTTCCAAAATCGACTTGCAGTAGCAGCAAAAGATCGCCCACCATCATTTTGTCTCTTCGTTTTGGGTAAACAAATAGTTAAGTCTTTATAACGAGTATTTCTATTGTGGCGACTGGCATTTGTTGGTAGAATATCAATAATATAAGATGGACAGTTACCATAGAAACGTTTATGACAAATCATGGCCTTTCTAATTTCCACTTCCTTACTAAAAGGTATCCAGCCCAATTTGGAAAAGAGTGGAATACTTCTATCGCGTGTTGAGGCATCTAGAATTACGCGAGCTGCTCTCTTTTTGTAATTTTGTAATTTGATCCAAGTTATCTTTTGTTGTATTTGACCAAACACAGCTACCAAACATCATAGCAGATTTAATAATGGCATTATAAAACGCAATGCGTTCATCCAATGGTAGATAATATCTTAACTTTTTAAGAAGGCCAATTCGTTTGGCTAATTTGGAACATAGCTTATCAATATGATTTGAAAAACTTAGGTCTTCATCTAAAATGATTCCCAGAAGCTTCTGGTGGGAAACCTGCTCTAACATATTCCCATTAATATGAACACACAATAATGTAGATGAATTTACCAGTTTCTTTGCAATTCTTTTTCCAGTGATAAGCATAGTTTTTGATTTTGTAGAGCTAAGCACCATTAAATTTTTATTTGCCCACGAGTTCAAATTAGTTGTATCCTCTTGTAATATGCGTTCAATAGAGGAAACATCTGAGTAATGATTAGATTTAATAAGAGTGGTATCGTCAGCAAAAATATTCGTTGAGGCGTTTTTTATTGATTTAGGCAAATCATTAATAAATATGATAAACAACAGGGGGGCCCAAGACTGAACCCTGTGGTACACCACGATCAATAATAGTTGTAGCTGAGGAGACGCCATTCACTGATACGTATTGAAACCTGTTTGACAAATATGAGTTGAACCATTTGATGGAATTAGTACTAAGACCGCAGGCCTTAAGTTTACCCAAAAGTAGATTATGATTCACCATATCAAATGCTTTTTTAAAATCTCCAAACAGCAAGCCACTAGGATTGTCATTATCAAGATCAGATAATATCTGATCAACAATTTTAATAAGAGCCATTTCAGTAGAATAGCCATTCCTAAAGCCAGATTGCCGAACATAAAACATGTCGTTGGATTGAAATTCGCGAACTAAACAATTATAGACATGGCGTTCAAGAACTTTGGAAATTATCGGTAGCGTAGAAATAGGTCGATAATTATCTGGATCTGTGGCATTTCCATTTTAAACAGGGGAAAAACTTTGGCTGTTTTCCATGACTGTGGAAATTGACACGAAGTAATACAATGATTGAAAAGCTTTGACAACGACGATGAAATAATTGGGGCAGCAGTCTTCAAGATCTTTACACTAATATTGTCTGGACCAGGTGCTTTTGATGAGGGAATATCTTGAATTATTTGAATAACCTGCTCAGCACTTATTTCAGGAATATCTAAACTCAAATTGCCAAAAGATAAAAAATCGTTATCATTTATAACAGTGGTATCATCTAAAAGATTAGAAGCCACATTTGCAAAGTGCAGATTAAACGCTTCAGCAATTTCTTTGTTATGATGGAAAAGAGATCCATTAAATAACAATTCTTTCACTTGAACGGGATCATTTGTAACACCAGAAAGAGATTTGAGTATTTTCCAAAGCTTCTTAGGATTTTTACGATTTTCAATAAGAGATGACTTGAAATAGACTTGTTTGGCTTTAAATACTGAATGATTTATTTTATTTCTAATTTTTCTAATGGACTCCCAGTCTTCATGGGAACGAGAGGATTTCGCTTTTTTGAGAAGCATATCTCTTTTTCTCATCATTGAAGATATATCCTCAGTAAGCCATTTAGGCTTATTCACCTTTTTAATGCGCTTAGAAATTAATGGGGCATGTTGATCAAGTATACTATTGAAGAGAGAGTACCACGTAATTACAATATCCTCAATATCATCGAAGATAAATGATGTATTCCAAGGCACATTTTGCAAAGAACTCCGAAATTTTTCTTCATCAAAGTTTTTCATATCGCGATAAGTCATAACAGTATGCGTTTGCATAAATTTCCCACAAAAATTTTTTTCTTTAAAACGACGCAAGCAACATACAGGTAAATGATCAGAAATAAAGATATCAGCAGTCGAGCAATGAGATAAAAATTCGGGTCTATTTGACCAAATATGATCGAGTACTTTACCACTAATTGGACGTGTAGCATCGATAATATGTTGTTGAAAAGATAAGGATAACAAATGCTTAACCAAGCGATGATGCTTGAAATAAGTGTCAAGATAATCGATATTAAAGTCCCCAAGGATTAACGTTTCTTTACCTTGCATGGAAGCATTTTCGATATTCATACCCAATTGAACATCGTAATTTTTGTCGGAGTTTGGTGGGCGATAAATGCCACCTATAATGAGACTTCTCTTCGACTTAAATGGGCACAATTCCAACCATAAAACTTCCAACTCGATTGTTTCCAAGTCATGTCTTCTTTTAGCAATTAAATCACGATTACCATATATTGCAATACCACCACCATTTAAAGTTTTCGAAGTACTATTCCGATTTCTTATATATAAGTCAAAGCCAGGTATATTAAACAATTCAGTAGAGGTTTGCGAATTCCAAAACGTTTCATTTATAATCAAAATATCCAGACGTACCTCGTTATAGTCATGGCCAAGGATTTCAATTTGCACTTGTTCAAACTTTGTTTCATTCAGACGGTTTACATTCCATTGGCCTATCCGAAGG